TCTAGTATCGCATCAGTGGCAATTTGTGCCTGCTGTGGATTGTGCCAACGAGCTTCTACCATTTCTAAGAACTGGTCTAACGTAATGGTCTTAGCCCAGTCCGCCATGTGTCGTCCGTACTCGGCCTTTGAAACTAAACCATCCAGCCATTTGGCTGGCTTACCCTCAAGGTAAGATGCAGCAGTAATCACCTCCTCCTCCTGCAAAGTCTTCTTGGCCTTTACCCATACCGGAACCGTTCTCAACCATGTGTTGAGTTCCTCGTCCTTCTTCTCTCCTGAGAAGGCAAGAGGCGGTTTCATAGGGGTCTTTGGATACCATTGACCTTGCTGCTGTCCCTGTTGAAGAACAGGTTGTTGCGGTGATGGTGTAGCAACCCCCGCCGACCCAGAAGAAGAAGAAGCAACAGTCTGTGAGACTGCTGCAGACGTACCACTTGGCTGCGTGCCAGCTTGTACCGGAAAGGGGCCTGACATCGCCGTTAACGGCAATGACGACTATGCTGCTGGCCTAAATCCTGGCCTTTGCAAAAGGTCCAAGATCTGGTCAAGAGAGTTTTGCATGAAGTCTAGTCTGCTGTCCACATGCGCATGCAGCGACAGCATGCTATTCTTCAACACTTTCAATTGGTTAGGCATTGTTGCCTCGTCCAAACCCTCCAGTGCAGCCTTGTCTGCCTCAAACGTATCAAGCCTGGCTGCTCTTCTTTTGATCTCGTTTTCTCTATCGGTTGCTTGTTTCAGTTCCCTCTCTAACTGTTCGCGAATCCTTTCGACCTGTTGGAGCTCTAGGAGCTCCCTGCCGTGTGGGGTCAACGGGCTTAACTGCAAGCCCACCATTTGACTTGTGGTCTGACTAGAACCTACTGACCCGGAAGTACCCGCAGGCCCTGAGGGCATTCCCAACAGGGTCCCTGACGAGGATGCAGCAGAGGCTGCGCCGTTAGCCATTGCTGCTGCTCTGGCTGCTAGTGCCTTTTCTCTAGCTGCTAGGTTCGTTGCTGCCCTCGCTGCTGCAAGAGCACGTGCTCTACGTTCGGCACGAAGCCGTGCTTCGTCTCCCGGTTGTAGGGTCTGGAACACGTGTGGGACCCTAAGTGCTCCCGAACGTGTAAGTCTCACATTGTCAACTCTACCCTCATCGGTGTCTGACCCGCTCATGGGTTAGGCAAACACTATCTGCACTACAACTCCCTGTTGGAGTCCTACCACAGCATGTGTCTGACCGGCACCTAATTTTCTAAAAATAATTGTGTTTGGCAGGTCCCCTACTTGACCGATCAAGTGCCAGCCTACAACATTCTCAAAAGACTGTCAACATAGTTTTAGTTCTATATTAATTAGTTCACTTACAGCAGCATTAGATAGAACTGGCTATGGTAGTATACAACAGTCCTACTCTAATCTGTCTGTGAGGTGTTAGCAGCCGTCAACCAACTAATCAATAATAAAACAAAACTATGTTGCAGATGTATGATTAGTGGGTATGGTTGTGTTTCCAGTTGAGCATTAATTAGAACCTACCCTCCCCTCAATCCAACATACCGGTAAGCATCATTAAGCAGCGGTGTCTTCGTGTGTAATGTCAGCCCACCCCTGTGCCCAAGTCATTGCCGAGCAAGCCAGCCCATCCACTCTTATTTACCCTCGTACGGAACGAGCCTTACTACCCGGTGTGATCTGGCTGATCAGGAGGAATTTAAGGAGAGCCCCATCTCCGCAGGAATTATTTAACGTCGCAGACAGGACGACGATCACAGCCAGTATCAACACCGAGTTTCCCCGCCAGAAGTATTTATAGACGGTCTGGACAACATCTCTTATTGGCTGGCACACCCGGCACGACTTCTACAGCGCAGCAAAGTGCCAAAATTGACAAGCAGCCATCGCATGCGTGACCTACTCCCATTGAGTTGGCATGGTGACCGTGACCCAGTGCTTCGACCAGGGCCCTTCAGAGGCACTGCCCTTTCTCCTTCCAGATACTTCCGGGAAGATTGTTGTTTCTCAAGGTAGCGCGCACACGACACCTCACCAAAAGACAGGACTCTCAAGTTGGACTCACTTCCTCGCGGTAAGAAGAGATTGAGAGAGTAGATAAGGTAAGGGAACAACGTACGTGGAGATAGCTGCCCCCAACCACAAATTTCTCACCAATTGAGCTGAGTGTGCATTTGATGACCGGTCGTAGCCTCGGTACCACTCACAACGCAATGCAGTGCCACCTCAGCTTAATGCCACATCAGCATGCTCTCATCACCAATCATACATTCCGCTGTAACCACAGCACCCAATGCCGTACAGCCTTCCGACGCACACCTCTCTACCCACGTCGTGCGCCTAATATGGCCTGACGTCACAAGAACCAACTGCGAAGAAGCATCGTCAACGCACCAAGTCTGTATAACGCCAGCGCACCAAGGTAAGTGGCGAATCAAACCAGCTCCGATACCAAAATGCAAGGAACATGAATGTGGACGAAGCACAAAAATCCAGATTGCAAAATCACATTTAAGTCCAAGTAGTCAAAGCAAGAGCAGATAGCACAATGGAACCGAGTAACCATCCATTTGAGAACGATACAGAAGAATCGTGAGTCAATGTCCAAGCCCAATCGGGCAACACCAACAGCATAACCCAATGTAGCTCTCTCTCTTGAATGGCGCTTGGCGCCGCACCTACTCTACAGCCTATCACTACGACTACAACATGAAAGCAACCAGACAACTTGACGACCAGCGAGAGATGATGTCAACACCAATGACGACTTCCTCTCCACCAGGTACGTCCCTCTCTTCTCCCTCACTCTCCCTTATCCCACACAGCGCCCTTCACCTCCGAAGAACCACCTTCGCCCTTCACCTCCTCTGCTCCCTCAGGCAGCCCGGCTATGGCCGGCTATGGTCGCCAGCGCCCTGCGCCCAGGCAGTGCTCTACCGCTTAGCGCTTGCCTGCCTCTACCTCAGCCTAGCGCAGCCCAGCACAGCGCAGCACCTCACATTTGCGCAGCGTGCCAGCATTGCCCGCAATGGCCAAGATCCCCGCCCGCTCGCCCTCCCTGCCTATATGCCAGTGTTGCGTGTGGGCGGCCTCCCTTAAGCCTGTGCCTGGGCCCCAGTACCTGTACCCAGGCCCGATGCAGTTGGGGGCCCAGGAGATGCAGTTGTGCCTCTTTCATCAAGGCCTGCGGCCAGATTCAGATAGTGGACCGGTTTCCCATTGGCATTTTCGGCCTCTATATCCAGCATGCATTGTCGGCCTCACGTTTATGTGCCCAGTGAAACGGTATTCACCAGTTCGCAGTAGCAAATGCAGATCCCAGGGCTCGATCCCTAGTTCCCCATCTTACCTGTGTACAGTATTGATGACAACCTGTAGATTTGAACCTGCGACCTGTCGAAACGCCAATGGTAGGTAGATTGTCGTAGGTCACAGCTTAGAAGGGAATCGAACTGTAGACATGTAGGGTAGGAGTCTAGACAGTTCCGAAGTCGTAGCTGTAGGATGTCTGAAGGGTCAAGGTCGTAGCTGCTACTTACCTGAAAGGGCAAAGTCGTAGCTGCTACAGTACCGAAAGGCCAAAGTAGAAGTTTCTAGAACTGGCCTTTCGGAGTCAGCCCCTGTTTAGGCCAAGGCAAGTGGGCAAGTGGTGTAGGTCCACTACGTAGAGTCAGCAGTCCCAGGTAGCCCAGTCCGGTCCAGTCAAGCAAGTACCGTCTGGGACTGTGCACATCGTGGGCCAAGGGATGCAGGGCAGACCAACGCCGCACAGAAGTATAAATCAAGAGGCTGCGTCCAGCCATTCATTCATTCCTGCGGATGCCATGCGGAAGCGCTGCCTCAGCAGCTTGCGCGAGGACGTCTGCAGTGCGCCCGAAGACGAAGAGGGCAGTGAAGTGTAGTGTAGCGATAGGATAGTGGCAGCCATAGCTGCCATAGCTATAGTAGCGTGTGTGTGTGTGTGTATTGCGTGTAGAGTGTTGCGTGTGGGACATCCAGGGTGATCCAGAGTGCGAACAGTGAGTTGTGTGGGCGCTCAGTCGCCATAGCCAGTTTGAAGGGAACTCCTACCTGGTTAGGATATCTTTGAGTACTGTGTGGGCGCATGTCGCCAGTTTGCTGTTTCGCTGTTTGCATGCATGACAAGTGTGAAGAAGTCGAGTCTGATTGCACCAGGGCCTAACCAACTCTGGGGCCCTGGGTTTCTGCATTTGCAGAGCTCCGATACTCGGTGCAATCCAACCAACTGGCGTGCTGCAACTGTATGGACCCCACTTCGTGAAATGTTTGCACAGAGGGCTCTTGTTGATTTGCTGGCCCGCCTTCACTTAGGGCGGGCACGAGGCTTGCTGGGGCCTTAGCCCAGAACATGTACATCATGGCAAGGCCCCTTCTTGAGGGCTCAATCCTCACAATTGTTATTTGTGCAAATTTAAATATTCCTTAATTAAATATTTAACCTTTGCGAAATCAAGTATTGCAATGTTAAATATTCTTTAAATATTAAATCTTTTGCCAAAATTCCGATTAAATTTTATTTAATTTCTCAAAATTCGAAAATTCGTCGGGGGGGGAATTGTTTTTTCTTTGATTAGTGTCAGACTTCGAGGTCAGGGGAGAAAGGGACTTCCTCCACACCCTACCTTCTCTCTTCTCCTCTCGGTATATGGTTGCCAGCCGCCGGACACGTCAGCAGAGTGCCACCTCAGCAGTGACACCTCAGCAGTAACACATCAGCAGAGTGCCACCTCAACAGTGCCACATCGGCAGAATGCCATTTCAGCAGTGACAAATCAGCAGAGTGCCACCTCAGCAGTGACATGACAGCAGAGTGCCACCTCAGCAGTGACACGTCAGCAGAGTGCCACCTCAACTGTGCCACATCAGCAGGAGCCACCTCAGCGGTGACACATCAGCAGCCGACGTAGGCCAGAGTACTTGATGCGCCGCAGCCAATGACTGGCCGAGCGCGGATCCGCAGGAGCCAAGCCTCAACAGGGACCTAGGACCCCTCGGATTCCGCGCAGGCCACGCACGACCATGGCTGCTACCGCTGACGAGAATGCACACAAGCCAGCCCCAAGAGGCCGGTTACCCCTCCTATCCCAGTTCAGCAGGCCGATGCCGCTTCTCGCGTTTCTCGAACTCCAGCTCGACTCGGAGACCACAGCAGCTGAACTCAGCAAGTGGGAAGAGGAGGAAGCCGCCCACCAGCAGGAAATTCAACGTCAGCTGGCAGAGGCAGAGGCAGCACGTCAGCAGGCCGCACGGTTGCAACAGCAGCAGGTCGAGGCAAGTCGACACCAAGCTCGTTACCAAGCCAAGATGGACCTTGCACGTGACGAAGCCACGTATGGCAGGCTACTTCGACGACAACATTTCCAAGAAACTGAAGAACGGGCAGAGCCGACCGAGGAAGAAAGTAACAGGGAAGGTACAACAGTACTGATGGAGAATCTGCTGTACACATGCAATTGGCAGCAACGTGAACTGCTGGCCACGCGGCAGATCTTCATCCGCCATGAAACAACATTCAAGGCCTTGGACAAGAAGATCGCGACGCTGCAGGCCGAGATCAGCACGCTACACGCCGCCAACAGCCAGCAGCAGACACTCAATGACCAGCTGCAGACCGATGTCAGCATGGGTTTGGCACAACTGTCGGCAGCTGCGTCAACGGGCAGTGCAGTGGTAGACTGCAGCCCAGCTTTGGCCGCACAGGCCAAGCAACTCGAGGAGCGGATCAACCACTTAGTCGCATCCCTCGGCGACATCAGCAAGTTTGCTGGAGCATCGGCAGTCAGCAATCAGCTGCAGACGCTCAGCGACCGCGTTGACCAACGACCAGCCGCTGCCACCAAGGAATGGAAGATGCTGAACTTCAAGATCGAGAAGTTCGATGACTATCACTAGACTGATCCGCTGCAATGGTGGATGGCTTTCAACGCGGAGGCGGATGTACATCACACACCCGCCCATCGGCGGCTTGACGCACTCTATCTCCAACTCATTGGAGGGGCGCAGGCTTTCATGACACACATGGCCGTCATGTTGGAATGCACCATCGCCAACCTCCACACGAAGATTACGTGGGAGGAATTCGAGAAGAAATGGAAGACCCGGTTCATGGTCAACAATGACAAACGGCACGCCATGAACAAGATTTTCCGCATCTACCAAGGCCAGCAAACGTCACGGGAATGGTTGACAGAGTGGCAACGACTCGTCGCCACCCCGGAGTTGAACTTACCATTCGACACAATCCGGGGCGAATTTTTTGCTCGGTCATGCGACACCTTGACAGCAGCGCTGGGCAGCGAGTTTCAGTATGAGACCTTTGATGATCTGATCTCAAAGGCAAGAGAACTAATCCAAGGTAACCGGCGTGCGGCCAACGAGACCCGCCAACAGCCCGGTTACGTGGGGGAAAGGCAAGGGACAACGGATGCCGCAAGTAGCAGCAGTCCAGCAAGGAACAAGTGAGGACCCCGCAGCCGCGTCTACATCAAGTGACGGAGATGTGGCGGCAGCGATACCACCGCAACGCTCACGACCCCGAGGGGGAAAACAAAAGGCGAAACCAGCATCGGCGGATGGAGCACGACAAGCACCATGGACAAAGTTCGGCATTACCAAAGACATGTTCAAGTTGCGACAGAAATGGGGATGCTGTTTTTGGTGCAACAGCACCAAACACATCACCAGCGCATGCCTCGACAAGGACAAGGAGAATGTCAAACGTCCAAGCTCGAGAAACTGAGCACCGCGGGAAGTGCAGCGACATCACTTCCCAATCCGCCGGAGTTGGCTGCCTTGCTAACAGCCTCTCTCACATCCGGGGATGACGCGGTAGTCGCAAGTTCTCGCATTGAGTATGAGAACTATGTTGTCGAGCTGGTCCCACCGTTGAACCAGCCTCTCCACGTGCAAGATTCAAGTGCATGTACGGTAGTTCCGCCGTCGGACAACGAACCGGTTGCTTCACCAGCCCTTCTATCGGAGGATCCGTCAACTTGGGCGAGTCTTGAGGAACTCGACCTGTTGACGGTTGAGGAGTTCCAATGGTTGCCTCTTCCCTCCACCGGTTCTTTGCCAACACCGCATTGCAATGCCTTAATGGCACACCTGCGCGAATACTTGCACGCTGCAGTACCACGTCCGTCGACGGACGGCGGAGTAGCGGTTGTTGATCTTTGTAACTACCTTGCGAAGATCGAGTGCGAGTACGCAACGCAACGGTACGTCGACATCGACGAGCCGCTCCTCTACATCCGCATTCAGATTGGAAAGACGACCTGCAGTGCCTTGATCGATTGTGGAGCGACTCGCAACTACATCAGTCAAGACTTCATGGCACCGTTCGAACGAAAAGTCAGCCTATGCACGTCACGTTGGCCGATGGTCAATCGACCAATACGTTGACTCGGTGCCCGTGTACTTTGCCCCGCTAGCATGCGAGGCCGTGTCTTTCGACATATTGGACACCAAGTTCGATATGATCCTAGGCATGTCGTGGCTGCAAAGCGAAGACCATCCGGTGAACTTCCATCGACGCACCGTTCACGTTCGTGATCGGCGTGGCGAACTAGTCTCGTGTACAGTGCCGCTTCCTCATCCTTCGATTGGTTGTCACGTGGTACCCGCGGCGAGCATTCGCCAATCCATCCGGCGGAACGACATCGAGGAGATGGGCATATGTTTTCTTCACGCCCTCCCACCCGGTGATCAGCCCAAGACGGATACGTCGGACCCACGCATCATTGAGCTGTTGGACAGCTATGCGGATGTCTTTCAAGCTCCCGCCGGAGTCATACCGGATCGGCCCATACGCCACGGGATCACTCTCGAGGACGGCGCCGTACCTCCCCGCGGATGTATCTACCGCATGAGCAAAGAGGAACTTCAAGTGCTTCGGGCACAACTAGACGACCTCTTGGCCAAGGGCTGGATTCGCCCTAGCTGTTCACCATACGGTGCTCCCGTTCTCTTCGTCCGGAAGAAGAACACGGACCTTCGTTTGTGCATCGACTATCGGAAACTTAACGCGCAAACGATCAAGAACGTCGGCCCTTTCCCTCGGATCGATGATCTTCTCGAGCGACTAGGCGGCGCCAAGTACTTCTCGAAGCTTGACCTCAAGTCCGGATACCACCAGATCGAGATCCAGCCAAGAGATCGGTACAAAACTGAATTCAAGACGTGGTATGGGCACTTTGAGTGGATCGTCATGCCTTTCGGTCTCACCAACTTTCCAAGCGGCTATGACGACGGAATTCTGCAACTTGCTCGACCGCACCGTACTCATTTACCTTGATGATATCTTGGTTTATAGCCGGACGTTGGACGAGCACCTCAAGCACCTTCGCGCCGTATTGGAGCGGCTCCATATCGCCAAGTACAAGGCGAACTGCGACAAGTGCGAGTTTGCCCAGCAAGAGCTGGAGTACTTAGGCCATTACGTTACGCCGCAAGGCATTCATCCGCTCGCGGACAAGGTACAAGCCATTCAAGATTGGCCAGACCTCAAGTGTACTACTGACGTCCACTCCTTTCTCGACTTGGCATCATACTGCATGCGCTTCGTCAAAGGATTTCAACGCATCGCTGCACCATTGTCGCGGCTTCAGTCCCCCTTGGTGCCCTTCGAGTTCAGCGACGAAGCCTGGCATGCGTTTCACACGCTGAAGACGGCTTTGCTTCAAGCTCCCGTCTTAAGCATCCATGACCCGACATTCCCCACCAAAGTGACTACGGATGCTTCCGGTTATGGCATTGGCGTGGTTTTGGAACAGCATGACGACACAGACTGGCATCCGGTTGAGTACTTCAGCCAAAAGGTGCCGCCCATCAACACTCTTGATGATGCGAGGAAGAAGGAACTGCTAGCTTTTGTCACTGTACTCAAGCGTTGGCGTCACTTCCTCCTCGGGCGTCGACGATTCACGTGGGCAACGGACAACAATCCGTTGACGTATTACAAGACGCAAGACACTGTGAGCAGCACGATCGGTCGTGACTTCACCTCCAAGCACATTCCGGGCTCCTCGAACAAGGCTCGCGAAGACCTGATCTTTGCGCCTTGGTGCACTCCACATTCGGCCTCGACGAGAACCTGCAACAACATTTCATAAACGGCTACAAGTCGGACCCGGGATTCTCCACACTCTATGCAGACTAATCATCGGATCACCCGCCGGCAAGCAACTATCGCATTGTCGACGACTACTTGCTTCTTCATACACGTGGCAAGGACTTGTTGTGTGTTCCCCAAGACCGCATCTTGCGCACTCGCCTCCTTGGCGAATACCACGATTCGTGGCTGGCGGGACACCTTGGCGTCGCACGCACACTAGCACGATTCCGCAAGCGGTTTCACTGGCCGGACATCATCAGTGACGTCAACCGGTACATTCAGTCATGTGCAGTTTGCCACCGGAACAAATGGCGCCATCAGCTCCCGTACGGCGAACTGAAACCATTGTCGATTCCTCGTGAACCGGGTCTCTCCATTGCTATGGATGTGACCGGTCCTTTCCCTCGCAATCGCCTTGGCCATGATGGTATTCTCACGGTCGTCGACCGTTTGAGCAAGTACGCTCGATTTCTTCCATGCAAGTATCATGCGACGACTCCTGAGCTCGCACGACTTTTGCATACCGGCTGGTTTTGCAGCCACGGCGTTCTGGAAGACATCGTCAACGACCGCGACACTCGTTTCATGTCGGCCTTTTGGACGACACTCATGGTGGAATCCGGCACCAGCATGAAATCGAGTTCCGCACGGCATCCTCAAACGGATGGGCAAACGGAACCTGCGCACCAGACTGCGCAGATGATGCTCCGCACACTCATCCGCCCGGATCAGAAGGACTGGGTTGACCGCCTTCCCGACATCAAGTTCGCCTACAACACTTCGGTGCACCCGGCGATTGGCATGACTCCTTTCGAGTTGAACCATGGTGGACGGAAAGGACGCATCTTCGCAGAAATTTTGCTTCCACGGGCTGCCGATATCGACGCCGCTTGCCCCCCCGCTTCTACACGGAAGTACTAGGAACTGCTGGCCAAATCCCGCGCAAACATGCAAAAGGCTCAGGTCCATATGCAGCAGCAAGCGAACCGGCCTCGCATTCCATGACCAATACGCGCTGGCGACCTAGTTTGGGTCACCTCTGAGGAATTCGCGCTCGAGCAGCACGTCTCGTGCAAGCTCCTCCCTAAGTGGTTTGGACCATGGATGGTCACTTCAGCAGCTGGCAACAACCCCACGGGTCCATCTTTCATCATTGAGATTCCCCTGCATTTGACGGCCCACCCGATCTTTCACGCTTCAAAGCTGGCGGTTTACACTCCAGCCTCCGCAGCGGACTTTCCGGGCAGACAGTCACAGGACCCTCCTTCAATGGATGGTCATCAGGAGGTCGAGCTTGTTCTCACGCATCGCAAGCATGGCAACAAGCCTATGCAGTACAAAGTTACATTTAAGCAATGTGATGCGAACGATACACGCTGGATCTCAAGAGCTGACCTTAAGGCGACAACACCCCTCGTCTTCGCGCATTACGAAAAACAGCGACTTGCTAAGGAAGCTGCCCAACCTGCCCGCCCTGTACGGATATCGGACAGACAGCTTCACCCTTGCAGTTAGCTCAGTCTTCAAGGAGGGGAGTGTGTGGCATTCTGAGCCACACGGGCCCTAGTTAGGGCCCGGTTCCAGACAGGCAGGGTAGGCCTAAGGGACGACGGTTCAGATGAGGGCCAGATGGGCCTGGACCGTGGCGGTTCAGACAGGCCTAGGGTAAAGGCCCAGGCCAAACGGCCACAAGGCCGGTACCGGTCCAGCATAGGACCTACCGGCGGTCCGGCGGCGCTTCAGAGGCTGCCACATTTAGGCGCCAAGTCCAGTTTGAATCTGGACCGTCGATTCATATCAGATCAACGGTCCAGGCCGGTAGGTACCAGCTGGTAGGAGGCCGGCCCAGCACTACAAAAGGCTGGGTACCAGCCTCCGTAGGTGAGAGTTAGTATGGACGAGAGTTAGTCTTTGGGATTAGCGCAGCTGGGCAGCGTTAAGGAGATTAGCGCAGCGCAGCAGCATTAGCGAGAGCAGCCAGGAGACGACAAGCGCAACAGCGGGAGGAACAGCGCAGCGGCCCTGCCGCACCATAGCTCCCAGTCAGGTACCAGGAGGAAGGATGTGCCTTCTCTCCCTCTGTTCCTTTGCCCCCAGCTCTCTCTCTCTCTCTCTCTCTCCCTCTCTCTCTCTCTCTCTCTCTCCTCCTACCTTCTCAGTGTCAGTCTACTTCTAGGTTCTCATACGGGACTACTGCAATATAAAGGATGGGTACGAATTCTGATAACATTGGGAACAACGGCAGTGGGACTACAAGTTGAGGACTACTTGGGGATCTGATTTCATCGTCCTTCTGAAGACATTGTGAGATCGATATCTGAGATATTGTGAGACTTGGCATTCGCGACATTTCAAGATACTATCTTTGGAAACATTGAGTTGACGTCATCTTCCCTCTCCTCCTCCTTTCGTCTCTCCCTCTCTCCCTTCGTCCGTGGATGATCTCAGTCCCTGGCCTTTCGTCTATGTCTGAGGCCAAGGCATTCGCACCCCGATGAATGTTTGAGAGAGTTCGATTGCAGTCCGAGTCAGGTCTGAGTCAGTCCAAGGTATCTCAAGTCTTTCGCTTGCATTTGTATTAACTCTGTATTATCTCGCCGAGAGCCCCTTAAGATGAAGTTTCGTAAGTCCTACGGCGGGAAGAAAGAGGAAAATTTCGATAATTGGGAGGCCAACGTAAATACATACGTTTATTTACAGCATAGTGTGTCAGAGGAATAGGTCCTCATCGCCTTCCAGGCCCTCAAGGATGAGGCCGCCAGCTTTGCTAGATCGCTCGCTCGCGCTGCACAGTGCGAGAAAAACATGGTCGCTTATTCTAAGATCACCCCTCTCCCTGAGTTCTTAGGAGCGATTTGCAGAGGTCACGCGAGGCGTTAGGGCCTCTGACAAACTGCAGACTATCCACTCGCGCCAGTGGAGGAGTGCCAGAGCACTCAAGGGCGTAATGGACGAGCTTGCAACCGTCCCAGACCATGGGGTCACTGAGCCCCAGTTGGTCAATCTCTTCTTTCGTGCCATGCCAAAGCCCTTACGGGTGCCCTTTTTCGAGAAGAGTCGACAACCCACCATGACATATGATGCGTTGAGTAGAGAGGTGGTGTTGTTTGAGGCACAATCCATGCCAGTTTCCACTTTCTGGCACAAGGACCTGGACAAGGGCAAAAAGTGGAAGGGTCGTACTATCTCTGGCCAGGTTAAGGCCAAGGATCATTTGATCCTTACGTTAGACGAGGGTGGTACGAACGAGGTCCCATACAGCCAGATTGAGTGGGGCCCAGAGGAGGACAGTAGTGGGGGTCAGGGGAGGACCTACGCTGTTGTCGCGGCTGGAGGGAGGCCGCAAGGTAGAGGAGGAGGCCGGGGCCAAGGGGGCCAGGCCTCTGGTGGCCGAGGACAGGGCGCTCAGGGGGTTGGCGGTAGAGGAAACCGCCAAGAGGGAGGTAGGAATCAAGGTCCCCCGCCAAATCGCTCATGATCTTACCAGTCGCCTCCAAGGAGAGGTGGATGGCACCCTGGCTTGCCATAGGGTAGGCCATGGGAAGACCTGGGCTTGGACCAGACTGTGTGGCAGCGTTGTGTGGACTAGAATCAGTGCATTTATTGTGGTGATCCTGGCCACATAATTAAATATTGTCCAAAGTGCAGAGAAGCCCGATATGCTGCACAAGCAGCAAAAGGCAACCGCCGGTAGGGGTGGCAACTGCCCTTACCCCTAGGCCATGTGGAGAAGAGTGCGCGCACCATAGAGGAACTCCCAAACCACATGAGCCTATGACAGAGTTGCTGGCCAGTACCTAGACAACTGTCCAGAGACTGCTTGTGTAAGCGTCTCCCTAGGTATTTCCCTCACAGGCGTGGCTGAAGAGTTAGAAGGAGAGAATGCCTGCCTGGGCCAAGATGAAAAACGATGCCAAAGGGCAGCTAGTATTAGTAGACGTAGAGATTTTTAGATGTAGAGTAGGGGCCCTTATAGACAGTGGGGCCACCTGCAGCTACATCACTAGGAAATCGCTGCAGAAGTTAAAGCTAAACTTGAAAGTCCAAAAGTTAGCAGACCCTATAGTCAGTATCCTCGCAGACAATCGCACTATGCGAGTCGAGGAATACGTCGACGGAGTCCAGACGTACTTTTGCCTTGAGAAAGATGGGAAGGTGGAGAAAGTTTTCCATTCCCTGACTTTCCTCGTAAAAGACAGTCTTCCTTTTGATATAGTCCTAGGAATGGACTGGGGAGAGGCAGTAGGGGCCACACTCCATTTGAGAGAACACGAGTGTGGGCTCCCTAGTCCCACAGGTGAAGTTAAGACTGCACGCTTGTTTCATGTGTCAGGGGTAGACAACACTCTGGCACATTGCTGCGTTGAAGAAGCAGCAGTTAGAAGAGCAGGTTTTTGTAGCCTACGTGAGGCCAATCACTGAGCCTAAGGAGGAGACACCCATAGACCCTGCTATTGCCAAGCTGCTGGAAGAATATACAGACCTAGTTAAGCCGCCTACAGGAGTAGTGTCGCGGCCGATCCAGCATCGCATAGAGTCTGTCAATAGGACTCCTAAGGGAGCGATTTATAGAATGTCCCCAAGGGAGTTAAAAGAGCTACATAAGCAGTTAGTCCTCATTTGGAGCACCTGTTCTCTTTGTCCCCAAGAAAGAGGGTGAGGTTAGAATGTGTACAAACTATAGGGGTCTTAATGCTATCACTGTGAAGAATGCAAAACCATTGCCCCGTATAGACGATTTGTTAGGCTGGGTTCAGGGCTGCAAGTATTTTTCGAAGATAGATTTAAAGTTCGGTTATCATCAGATAGAGGTTCATCCTGATGATCAGTACAAGACAGCATTCCGGACTAGATATGGGCACTATGAGATTATAGTTATGGCCTTTGGACTAACCAATGCGCCAACGACTTTCCAGCGTTGCATGAACGATTTGTTTAGGCCGTGGTTAGATAGCTTTGTTGTAGTATATCTAGATGATATTCTAGTGTTCAGTAAGACCCTCCAGGAGCATGAGGGCCATCTGAGGCAGGTCTTGGAGAAGCTTATTAGAGAGGCTAACTTCAAGATCAACGCAAA